AAGATGGACTGTATGACTGGACAGTGCTCAGGGTAAGATGGACTGTACTGACTGGACAGTGCTCAGGGTAAGAGTGGACTGTACTGACTGGACAGTGCTTAGAATAAAGGGATGGGGCAGCCTCCAGAGGCCAGAGTGTCAGATGCCCTCGAGTTGAAGTTTCAGGCCATTACGAGTGGCCTGTCATGGGTGCATGGGAATTGAGCTTGGTTCCTCTGTAGGAGGAAACGAAGCTACTTACACATTCTTGATGAAGCTGACCCAGGGCAGGGTAGGGTAGAGCAAGCGCTATACTGTGGCCCACGGGACCCTTCGTGTGGGGCTGTGCTGTACATTATAGGAGGTTTAGCAGCGTCCCCAGCTGCATGTCACAGGGCTCTCTCAGAGCCTCCCTACTTGTGAGAGTCAGAAATGATCTGATAGTCCCAGTGTCTCCTGAGTTTAAGTCCTTGTCTAGGTCGTTGAGGTAACAAAAGGCGTCTGGAAGTTCTCCTGTGGTCCTACCCTAGAGCATACACTAAATTTCAGCTTTTGAGACAGTGCCCCACCCCCAACCCCAATACCCGCATCATTTGCTCACCCTGCCTCTGACAGAGTGGGCCCAGAGAATTTGTATTTCTACAAGTTACTTTTGTTGCTGATGCCAGGGTGAGCCTGAGAAGCACTGCTAAGAGGTGGAGCCTTTACCAGCCCCTCTCTGAAGTTGTGGTTCCTGTGTTGGTGTGGTGCCTGGGCGTGAGGGCTCACAGACTGTCGGCTCACTCCCCCTCTAGGAGCCGTGCTAGAGCTGCTTCCTGGTGACAGGAAAGGTTTTGGCTGTTTGTATGTTTCAGTTCATGGTTGCAGTCTTCTGTGGTTTTAGCCCTATGGGGACATTGTACATCGTTATGGGAGCACACGGCACAGAGGGCTGAGAAGGAAAGAGAGGAGACGGTCTGGGTTCCCACTGTCTCTTAAAGGCACGTGCACAGTGACCTAGTTTCCTCCCTTTAGACTATGTCCCCAAAGTCTCCCACTTCCCAAGAACGCTGCAGGTGGGGACTGATATCCTGTCTCCAGCACTTGGGCCTTTTGGCTCATTGAAGACTCAGTGGCAGTGGAGCACTGGTGGCTGACTTGGTTCAGGTGGTGCTGGCCTAATCTTTCTGTTGTGAAGTCATCTCAGCCACTCACCTTGTGATTTTGAAATCACCTTTGTCTAGGCTGCCATTTGGGCCTGAAAAGGGCCCTGTTCTGAACCCACCATTCCTATTTACCAGTTTGGGGAGGTTTCAGCTGGATTTTGTTTGTTGGTGACTGCAAGTTGTCATGTGTCCCTGTCACTCACCTGTGCTGTTTGTCCACAGGATGAAGTCGCCCACACAGTCACGGAGAGCCGGGTCCTGCAGAATACGAGGCACCCCTTTCTTACAGTGAGTTTCCTCTCCTTGCCACCCTTTGTGGACAGTTCTGGGAAAGAGCTGTTATAGGCTATTATAGCTTTGGTGTAAGCCAGGCAGGCAGGCCAGGCCAGGCATCCCCGGGCTCCCAGACTGCTTAAACATCAGGACACTGGGTGGTGGTTGCTTGGTAGCTGTCACTGGGAGTACGAGGTGCTTAGCCCAGCTGACCAAAGTGAGAAGATTGTGTTTTGGTTTTAAAAAACCTCAGTCACAGCCAGGCAGTGGTGGTGCACGCCTTTAATCCCAGCACTTGGGAAGCAGTGGCAGGCAGATTTGAGTTGGAAGCCAGTGTGGTCTACAGAGTGAGTTCCAGGACAGCCAGGGCTACACAGAGAAACCCTGTCTTGAAACCCCTCCCCACAAAAAAAAAAAAAAGAAAGAAAGAAAGAAAAGAAACCTCAGTCACAAACATGCTGTCATGGCATAGCCCTTGACTCCAGCTGAGTAGATACGGATGGTAGCTCTGAGGCTGTGTCTCTGTGAAGTTCTGGGTTCGCTGCTGTATTATGTGATCCCTCAGTGTAGAAGACAGAACCATAGAGCTTATGGTTTTTGTGAGCAGAGGCGTTGTCAGTGCTTGGGGGAGGAGCCCTGTAGGGCTCCACAGAACATAGTTGAGAGCCGCTGTGGACTGCTTGGCTGTCTTTCCTTGGGAGTTGTCACTGAGCCATATCCAACGGGTGTGTGTGACAGAGCACAGTTCTGGGTGTGATGTCTCTTACAGAGGAGAGCTGGTGAGACAGCTCTCGGTGGTCACAACATATCTCCTCCCCTGGACATGCCTAGGACTTGAACCCCTCTGACCCAAGCAGGGCAGGGTGTGCCAGTTGAGGTCCCTGCCCTCCAGCTGGCAGAGCGTCCCTTCTGTCCCAGCATCCTGGTTTCCTTCACAGGCCCTGAAGTATGCCTTCCAGACTCATGACCGCCTGTGCTTTGTGATGGAATATGCCAACGGGGGTGAGGTGAGCTCTGCCGCCTGCCTGGCTGACGTGTGCTGGGGAGGGAGGGACTCGAAGACGACCTCGGTGAGAAGGGGTGTGCCTGTGTGTGGAGGGAGAGAGACAGACTCTGAAGAGAGGTGTATTATCACCAAGTCCTCCTCTACTCCCTGAAGCAGGTAGTACAAAGTCACTTTGAAGGTGGAGGCAGGCTGGGGAGGCTGAGTGGGTGACCTGCCCAGGGTCACACCGCTGCTGTGTAGCTGGGGAGGATTCAAAGCCAGGTGTCAGTGCCAGGAAGCTGTTCTGGGGGTCCCTGAGAAAGCATGAGTCTGTCCCATGCCTCTGTCACTGCATTGGTCCCACTGATTGCTTCACTTCCATCACCCACACACCTCATTGTCCGTCCCTCACACTGTCCTCACTGTCTGTCCCTCCTCACACTGTCCCCACTGCCTGTCCCTCACACTGT